ACGAGGACAAGGTTCCCTGCCACATCTGTGGCAAACTTCTCTCCCCTGCTTACATCACAGATCACATGAGGGTCCATAACCAATCACAGCATCACGTCTGTCACCTCTGCAACCGCAGTGAGTATCATTGATTATTTCATTTGTGCTTTGAAAAGCATAGCTATTCTTTTGATCATCTTTTACCCTTTTTTAATCTATTTACCAAGGCTGCATTTATTTGATCAGTTAGTTTATCAGTTTAGTAAAAATGGTAATAATGTGAAATATTATAACAATTTAAAATAACTGTTTTCTATTTAAATATATTGTAAAATGTCATTTATTCCTGTGATGGCAAAGCTGAATTTTCAGCAACATTACTCCAGTCTTCAGTGTCACATGATCCTTCAGAAATCATTCTAATATGCTGATTTGCTGCTCAAGAAACATTTATTATTGAAAGCAATATTGCAAACAGTTGTACTTTATTATATGTGTGTGTGTGTGTTTCTTTGATATTTTTGTGGAAACTAATACATTTTGATCAATTTATTGTTTCCTAGTGAAAGAAAGAAAGAAAGAAAGAAAAAGAAAAAAACATCTTACTAACCACAAATTTTGAACAGCAGTGTAAACAGATATCAGAAGTAAGATAAAAATTCAACAACTGCTCTGACGAATATGGCAAATAATTTGTTAGAATTCTTTTAATTCAAACCAATCATTTTAGTGAGTCCTTTCAAATGAATCACTAAAGAAATGACTAAATAAAAATGAGAATTGGATTATTCTCGTTGTGCTATGTTTTTGCATGCAGCCAGTGACATCTCAAAAACACGTCGACTATTTATTGTCTCACCTCATCACATTTATTTCAGACTATAACTTATGTTAATTCATTATTAATCTTTTACTATGTCTCTGTAGACTGAGCACCATCACTGAATAATGGTGAAGGAAACATTGCTATGTTTTCATTTTACTCCTTACTCTTTCAGCATAATTCCATTTACTAGGGATGCACCGATACCACTTTTTCCAGTACTCGCCTGATACCGATACTTTTATTTTTGGTACTTGCCGATACCGAGTACCGATACCAATATTTTCATTGCATTTGTACATTTTTAAAATATTGGGTACAGAAACCAAAAGAGGATGTATAATGTTAGTTGGTTAACGTCATTTATCAAATAGATAGTTAAACCAAAATTTATTCAGACACCTTCAACATGTCTCACATTATCACAGTTTAAGTATCGGTGCATCCCTACCATTTACAAACAAATTATTCTAATGAGCTGATTCTTTTTAGTAAATCAAAAACATACCCTGCAACCACTGTAGACCCAAATCACTTTAAAAAAAATAATATAAAAGATTCACAAATTTTCAATTCCATATCATGGGATTTTAAACAAATAACAGTTGAACTGCATATTTTGGGACCTGTTGTCAAGTTTTAAATTGAGGATTTTACTAATGTATCACGTTAGAAAGTTCCCTGAATAATTTACAGCACTAAGAAAGTGACAAGAAAACAATAAGGCTTTTCATAAAAATCATTCTTTTTCGTCATAGGTTTCACCACACTGACGTACCTGCGTGTCCACGCTCAGAAGCACCATGGGCAAGAGTGGAAGGACAGTGGGGTCGGCCGTGGCTCAGGCCCAGGCGGGGTGCTGTTATGCCAGCTGTGCGGGGTACACTGCAAGACACCCACGCAGCTGCAGGGTCACATGGCCACGCACGCAAACCAGATGGACCCCAGTGTTCCTTGCCCCATCAGCATCAGCAGCAGCAGCAGTTCAGTGGCGACCGAGAAATCTAAGAGGATGGGCCCAACCTGGACAGGTATATCAGATATTCACAACATATTTACGACGGTTTCGCTGCCACAGACTTGAATGCCACAGAGATTTTAATTTGGCCATCAACTGGCTTAATTAAATTAATCAATTCAGTGGTTCATTTATATTGTCATTCAGAAATTTTATATCGGAAATCCCCAAGTTTGTAAGATTTATGACTGTTTTGGAAAGAACTCTCTTATGTTCACCAAGGATGCATTTATTTGATTAAAATATTGTAATTGTGAAATATTAATACAGTTAAAAATAATATATTTTATTTTGATATGCTTTAGAATTTGATTTATTTTTGTTATGGTTATTATTATTATCAATGTTAAAAACAGTTCTGCTTAATATTTTTGTGGAATCCGTAATGCATTATTATTTCAGGATTCTTTGGTGATTAGAAGGTTCTAAAGAACAGCACTTTTTTGCTTTAGAAATCATTTGTAACATTATAAATATCTTTACTCTCACTTTTGATCAACTTAATGCATCCTTGCTGAATAAAAGTATTCATTTCTTTCAGAAAAAAAAACAACAACTTACTGATCCCATTTAAATGGTAGAGTACCTTAAAATATTTTATATGTTTATAAAAAATATAGTGAAATATGTTGTATAGGTAAACATTACTGCTCGATCAGTTTTATTTTACTGGTGCATTTAAATGAGAATTATTAAAAATATTTTTTTTCCTTTCATTTAGAAACTGTAAAAACATGCTCTTGATTTCTTAACAGTATTTTACTTTTTGCGTTCACTATTGTAAACTACTATTGTAAACTACTTGATAACAAATTTAAATATACAGATACACACATATGTATACATATATATATGTTTGTGTGTGTGTGTGTGTGTGTATGTATTTTTGTAATGGCATTGTCCATCTTCTAGATGCAGTTTGTCACCAATCAAACCAAACAATGTTTTCTCACTCCAGGCTGCCATGGAAATGCCAACACAATGTAAACCTACCCGTTACCCCACCTCTCTCATCCACCTCAAATCTTGCTGGGACTGAGAAAGAACTGAACGACTCTCCTCAAAATAAATGTGACTTTTGAATGAACTCAAGAAACATCACCCTGCTTCACACATGCTTTTATGTGCAGGCAGAGCAGCAAGTCTCCCTGGATTGCTTTTTCCCCGTACTCTTTGATCTGGTCTAATGGATACAGACTGAAAGTGTTTAGAAGAAGAGCCTAGGAAGATCTGATGGACGACTGGTTTGGGTGTCAGTACATTTCCTCGCAGAGTCCCATTGGAGAGATCACTGGTTTTAAATGTAGGCTGTTATTAAGTGCTGTCCCAGTTAATTATAAAAAATCCAGTGTTGAGGAATGTAGAACACTAAGAGGAATGGACACATTATGCCTCCCAACCTTTCCTTATATAATAATGGCTCATAGCTACATGATCTTGAAATCCAGACGAGATACGTTTTATAAATGAATTTACTCTGTTGTAAGAGATCAATGCATCATAAATGATCTTGACATAAATGACACCTCCACCGAACTTGAACATTTGAGGGGATGAAATATAGTGTCATTTCCTCTCATTAATCCCTGCGAAGGATTGAAAAAGGGTTTAAAGATGGTCACAAGGACAAAATATTTATATTTGTAATGTACGTAGTATGTGAGTGCTATAAAAGCATCTATTGTTCAATGCCTCCTTTGATATTTTTCTCATTGATCTTGATCTTTTTTTTTTTTTTTAACTAAAGACGTTAAACAGATGTAATAATGTTGATTATGTTGCATAAGATCTGTAACCTATGTTTCCAGTTCTGTTTGTGTGGATGCTTGTTTAACGCCAATATGTGTTGGTGTCGCTGTGCTCTTATCCTAAATAATCTCTGTATAATGAACATGCACCTAATTATACTGCATTTAACTAACTGCGGTCTCACTTGCTTTATTGGGATATCATGTGTATGTGAAGTTACCTGGTGCTTTTCTGCAGCTGACATTACACACAGTTGCTATAGTGTTAGAAATTGAAAAGTGATTATTTTAAAGGGGTCATATGATGCTTTTTTAAAGATCATTATTTTGTGTATTTGGTGTAACAGAATATGTTGACATGCTTTAATGTTCAAAAAACACATTATTTTTCAGCTTGTAACTCTCCAAAGAGAAAGGAAAACTTGAAATTGCATCATAAAAGAAATCCCTTTAAAAGAAATGGATGACACTTTTCTGCTAATATAGTACATAATGGTGTAACATTACATTTTTCACAAATCCTACTTTTTTATTAAAATAAATATTTAAAAAATGTTTTATTTAACCTTTTTTTTAAAATTCTGAATGTATTTAACTATTAAATGTCACATCCAAAAATACAAAAAAATAAAAATAAATCACGTCATTAACGTAGCATGAAATATAGCTAGTTTTAAAAACATCAAATGCCTGTCCCACCTCAGAGGTCTTGCCCTTTTAGACTAGTAATATCATAGGTCATAATATTTCTGATACATGGCTTCAGTTTTTAGTTTTATGGTGGTTTATTGGCATGGCAAATATTTGTACAATGTATTGCCAAAGCAATTGCAGCGTTGTTGTGCGAAACACTAAAATACAATAAAAAGTGCTAAATGAAAATAGAGCAAGACAACATAAATTATGGGAAAAAGCCTAATTGGTGGAGATATTAATAAATATTATATGTAATATTTATATAATAAGTAGTGCTGTCAAACTAATCAAGTTTTTGTTTACATAATATATGTGTGTGTATACTGTGTATATTTATCATGTATATATTAATACATTTTTAATTTATAATATTATAATGGGACCTTATAGCAAATATTGTTTCACTTTCACAGTTTTTCCACAAATTTTAGTATTAACTGCATTCATCAAGCTCAACCTTTCAAACCTGTTACCCCGCTTGATAAACCTGTTAAAATAAATGAACACAAAAACGAGTGATGATAATTGTGCATCACACAATTTTATAGTCTCAGATTATAGTAAACCTCTTAAAACTAATATTTACCTTTTTTATTTTTTTAAGAAAAAAGTTTCTGGTTCTGCAATTTGTGCCCTATTCCTGTAAAGCATGGTGAGTGTATAATTAGCAGAAAACAGTGAACGGTTAAACCGCGTCCCTCGCATTGTTTACACCGGTGGTCCTCCCCTCCCCCACACACTCATCCCTCCTTTCTTTCACTCCATCCCCCTCTTCCAACTCCTCCTTCTCCCTCTCCACCGCTAATTCCAACAGCTGATTTCCAGATCAGAGAGAGAGAGGAACACGGCGAGACAGTTCAGGTTTGGAGCCGGCTGCAGCAGAAGGATTTAAAGCGAGCAGAAATGCAAGGAGAGCGCTGCGATCCGCCAGCGTCCGTCATGAAGATCTGAGCTCCGCCGCCGCTGCCATCAATTCCGAGAGGTTAGCCGCTGTGCTAAAGCTAACACTTTACAAACATCTGCAGCCAATAAACCGACATTATCGGCCTTTACTACGAGTTACAGCTCACCTTTCCTTTTCTGTGTGCATTATGTTGGGTTATATTCACTTTATGTTGTTATTTTCGCTCTGAAATGGACCGTTTGTGCATATAAATATCATATATAGGTCACAGAGCAGATTAATTAGCTAGCTAGCCGGAGGTAACAGCTGGTGAGGTCGCGTTAGCTACATTATTATTAGAGTTAACTGACTTGAAATACTATCAAACTAAACAAAAAATGTAGAGGATTGAGATATGGGCTGCTGTGGTATGTGGAAGGGCTAATAGCAGCTTAAATATTAACCTTGTAGCAAGTTGTGTCATTGAAGGGTAGCTTGTTAGCTTGTGTTTATAGAGGAACAACAGCAGCTTGCGAACAAAGATGAGGAACAAGACTGATGTGAACTTTCCAGACGTGCTGCAAGCACAAGTTTTTGCAGGCTATTCACACTGATATAACAGAAATGTGCTGTCAGACCACCGACCGAGCACATGATTAAAGTACATCAACCTTTGGCATGCATTTGGTCTAGTAATGTTTCTGAGTGAGCTGCACTGTTGCAATGCGGCTGCAGGAAGTAAACACTGGCTCAACAACTTGTATTTCCTAATATTTACCTATGTTTAGGTTCAATATTTTGTTATTTATTTATACCTAATTCTTTTTGGACTGGTTAACTGTTGGGGAAGTCTTCACCTTAACAAATTACCATAGTGCTATCACGGCTATTCAGACAACATCGTTGAAAGGAATAGTTACATTTATATAATACATACATTTAAACATTATAACGTGTCATATAAAACTTTAATGTGACCACAACTTTTAAGCCCCCAAAATGACAAGAGCTATTTCTACCCTATATTCTCAAGTCATATGGTAACTTTGTATAAGGAGCAAGCAAAAATAAAAGGCATATTTCACTGGAAACTGCAATGCAGATTTTGAATGTCATTTCACATTCTACATATTCAGACTTGGAGTTTGGTTATGACACACATGAGAACTGATGTTGCAAACTGATGAATGGCATTTAATTGAGATTCAATGGATGATGCCTGTTTTATTCCTTTTGTGTTCCATGAAAATTTTGTGGGAATTTTCTGTAATTTTGGTACATCTCAAGTTTAGCATAATATGAAGCTGTTTTTGCACTTATTAATTTGTTACGAATGTCCTGGTTTGCATCCAGGGTCCAGAATTAACACCTTGCCAATCGCCAAATACAAGTGAAAATTAGCTTTGGCTAGTAAATTTGCCAGGATTTTCTGTCAGTTTGGTGCATAGTTTGGTCTCATAATAAGAAATTTGTGTTTATAGAAATTTTAGGACTGCAGGTAATCAATTTAAAGGGATAGTTCACTTAAAGCGAAAATTCTGTCATACTTTACTCGCCTTCATGTCACTCCAGATCTGTATGGCTTTCTTTTTTCTGTGGAAAACAATTTAATGTATATTTTATTGTATGTTGGTAACTAAACTGTTTCGGTTCCCATTGACTTCCATTGTATGGACAAAAAATACCATAGAAATCGATGAGAACTGAAGCCGTCTGGTTATCAGCATTCTTCAGATGCTGACAGAATTGTTATTGTTTTGGTGGACAATCGCTTTAATGACAATTCCTCACCTGTGTTTATCATGTAGGATGGCTTTCCATGGATCCTCTCGGCCAACAGTGTGTGGTAACTTGTTCCCTGGATCAGACTTAGGCCACAAGTATTTTTGTGTCAACACCACGACCGGCACTACCTCAACGGGCCTCAGCGCAACACCAAATCCGACTGGACCCAACGCTCCCGCTGGGACTCCCAGACACCCGGCGTCTCTTGGGGGCAGCGCAGGCGGAGGTGCGGCCATCCCACAACCTCACAGTAACCCAGCAAGTGAGGTTCCAAGTCCTGCTGAAATGGAGCCTGATCGGCCTATCGGTTATGGTGCATTTGGGGTGGTCTGGTAAGTCCTGCTGTCATCTTAGCACACTGATTTAAGATGACCGTCTGTCATGTTGTTACACTACCATTCAAAAGTTTGGCATCTGTAAAAAAAATGTTTTTTAAAGTCTCACCTTGGCAGCATTTATTTGATTACAAATGCAGTAAGAACAGTCATATTGTAAAATGTTTACAATTTAAAAATTCTTTTTCAGTGTGTTTTAAAGTTTAATTAAAATTTGACCAAATCCCAAAGTTTTGGCAGTGGTGTTATATTGCACACTCTGGCTATCCATTTGCATTGATAGGTCTGTGACGGACCCTCGGAATGGACGTAAGGTGGCTCTGAAGAAAATGCCGAATGTCTTCCAGAACCTGGTCTCCTGCAAACGTGTGTTCAGGGAACTCCGGATGCTGTGTTTCTTTAAACATGACAATGTAAGTTTTGCAGGTGGAAAAGGGAAGCTTGCATGCATGGGTGGGCATGAAAAGAGAGAATGGGTTTATTGTGAAAGACGGTGTGTGTGTTTCCAGTTTTGGAACTTGATTGCATGTTTTTTGTAATGATGGGAATTTGCTTTGGTAGGTGCTGTCTGCCCTTGACATTCTCCAACCTCCACAAATCGACTGCTTTGAGGAGATGTATCCTTCAGACTCATGCTTCACCTGAAGTTGTTCCCCCTCTGATACTTTTTAACTTTATTATTTTATTCTCTTCGTGCCTCAGTACTAGGGGGATTCAAGGGATGTTCCACTCAAAAATGAAAATTCTCTCATTATTTATTTGTACTCATGCCATCCCAGATCAGATGTATGACTGATTTTTTTTTTTAGAAAAATAATCTTTTTTTTTTTTAGTCCATATAATGCAAGTGTACAGGACCCCCAAAGCTGATGCTTAAAAAAACCGCACAAAGAAACACAATGGTAACACATATGAACCCAGATGATGCATCAGTGTCTTCAGAGGTGGATTGTCTTCATCTGTGTTCATCTGAAGAAAGTTGTTCTAAACCTGTGTGAGCTTCTTTTTTTCTGCTGAACACAAAAGAAGATGTTTTGAAGAATGTTGGGAAACAAACAGTTGCTGACAGCCATTGACTTCCATATTATGGGAAAACAATACAATAGAAGTCAATGGTTTCTAGCAACTGTTAGGTTACCCACATTTTTCAAAATATCATCTTTTGTGTTCAGCAGAAGAAAGACACTCATACAAGTTTGAAACAACTTGAAGGTGAGTAAATGATGACAGAATTTTTATTTTTAAGTGAACTATCCCTTTAAGTAGTTGATTTGTTTCCATTAGGAGTGTTTGACGGTATATATCATGCGGCAGATGGTATAACGTTGAACCGCAGTAGCTGTATTTGCATGTCTATCAGTGTTGTACTTTATGTTATCAATGTGAAAGTGGGAGACATGGAGTAAAGGCAGACCCGAACATGACCCAAACATGTGAAGACAAGGAAAATACTGTGTAAAGAGTTTAGCTGTTTGCAGAGCAAATTGGTGTATTAATATTGAATGTAACTTGCATATATGTGTATTTTCTGTTTTGCAGTGACTTAGAATTTGGAACTTTTAATCTTTATAATATAAATTTTTACAGCACAGGCTAGTATTTATTTTTAACTTTGGTTTAACATAATGTGAAGCTGGTTTTGCACTTATTAATTTATGAATGTCCTGGTTTGCATCCAACATCCAAAATTAACACCCTGCCAAGCGCCAAATACAAGTGACAATTAGCTTTGGCGAGTAAATTTGCAAGTAGCTGTGTTAGGAAGTGCAAAATGCTAGAAAACCTTTAAAATAATTCCACTGCCACAGTAATAGATTATACAAATATTAGGGCTCCAAAACACACATATATTACATAAACAAAAACTTTTATTTTGGATGCGATTAATCGCGATTATTTGTTTGACAGCACTAGTTTACATACTATATGTGTGTACTGAGTATATTTTTTATGTATATGTAAATACATGTATAAAAGAAAAATTCACGTTAAATCAATCGTTGCCAAATTTCGGTACCTGAGAACGCATCTGGGCGCATACACTACAGAGAGAAAGAGAGACCCTGTGACGTGAGGTCACCTCTGCAACTCGTTCAAACAACACACAGGGCAAGCCTTAATGTTCTGAAGTGTGGTTACATTTCTAGGGCCATATGGTTTTTCTGAGAAAACGCGGACGGGATCGCGGAGTCCATTCATAAAAACGTAATTTACTCTATAGCGCGGAATGACACGGAATTCGTCAATTTTGGATGAATAAATCAAAAGTAGCCACTGCCACTTAATTCGAATCGCAATATGAACTAGTGTCTGTGAATATTAAAATGCAAAAAGACGGTTTAAATATGAATCCTGCATGTTCCGCTTGCCTCTGTATGTATGAATGGCGGAAACGCGGTTTTGTTTACTACACAAATACTGAAGCACGCGTGAGGCTCGCGGTGATTTTCGGCCTCTGCGTCTCACTATATGATGGCATGAACACAAAAACTTAATCTCCAGAGCTGCTGTGAGAGTCACTTCACGAGAATTTTACCGTTTCATTTGTGAAAACTAGCACCATCATACTGTATACACACAAAAACTTCATGGCAACCTGTCAAAATAAAAGTACGGTTTCACATGTAACAGAAATATATTACTCTTGTATTACTTTTGTACGGAATAATTGACGACAGGCTATTGAATTATTAGAAAAATAATGCACACCCGAGGTGGTGATGCGGCCACGACGCAAAGCACGCTTGAAAATGAATGAATGTTATTGAATTATATGCAAATTATCAAACGAAATGTATCATTTTAAAATCTAAAGGATACTTTTCAAACAATAGAAATATTTCACAAAAATATACCATTTTATTATATCAGTTTAATACAATTAATATACATTACTGTTCTGAGGTCAGTAAGGTTTTTTTTTTATGATTTTTTTTTGAGCAAGGACAATAGATCTTTGTAACAGATGTTACATAGACAAATGTTACATAAATGGTCTATTTCGAATTGATTTCAGCTATATTAAAATAGAAAACAGTTATTTTGAATTGTAATAATATTTTACAATATTCTTTTTTTTTTTTGTATTTTGGATTAAATGCTGCCTTGGTGAGCATAAGAGATTTAAATAAATAAATAAATCTTACAGACCCCAAACCTTTGAAGAGAGAAAGAGAGACCCTGTGACGTGAGGTCACCTCTGCAACTCGTTCAAACAACACACAGGGCAAGCCTTAATGTTCTGAAGTGTGGTTACATTTCTAGGGCCATATGGTTTTTCTGAGAAAACGCGGACGGGATCGCGGAGTCCATTCATAAAAACGTAATTTACTCTATAGCGCGGAATGACACGGAATTCGTCAATTTTGGACGATTAAATCAAAAGTAGCCACTGCCACCTTAATTCGAATCGCGATATGAACGAGTGTCTGTGAATATTAAAATGCAAAAAGGCGGTTTAAATATGAATCCTGCTACCGGTACCGTACCGGTTAAAATGTGAACAGTACCCAACCCTATATGTAAATACACACATACATGTATAAAGGAAATTTTATATATAAAATATTTATATATAGTATAAATTATATACAAGTATAAATATACAAACATATATTTAAAAAATATATACATATATGTGTGCGTGTATTTATATATACATAATAAATATACACAGTACACACACATATAGTATGTAAACATAAACTTTTATTTTGAACGCGATTAATCGTTTTGCAGCCCTAACATATAGTAGAAGTTGTTATTGTGGCTGTAGGTGTTTTGCAGGTCAGTTGTTTTCTTAACTGGGTCTGTAGATACGTGATCACTGAGCTCATGCAGAGTGACCTACATAAAGTCATCGTTTCCCCTCAGCCTCTCACCACCGATCACATCAAGGTGTTCCTCTACCAGATACTCAGGGGTGAGTTCACATGGGCATATGTCACTTTTGGATTACATTTTTCTTTTTTTTTTAATTTTGGGAATCTGGAGTATTTAATCAGGACAGATGAACGTTTGATGTGTTATATGCCTGTGTTGCAGAATGGGATTATCTTTGACCTTGTAATCATCCTGTGAAGCTTTAATCTTATGTTCTGAAAATAAAATTTGTTAGCAAAATCCCACTGAACTGTTAATCTTGTTTGGGGCACTTTTTACTCTTGTTGCTGGGCGAGTCCGGTGAATCTTTTAGCTGAGGCTGTATTTGTTTATAATGAATCTGGAGTAGGGCTGACAATATTAATGGCGTCGTACTTGTGAAATGCTTTGAATACCAAAATCCGATATCATACAGTGAATGTACATAAAATGTTGTGTTAACGTTGCCACACTATTAGTGGAGAGCAAGAGTAATTGTACCCGTATATGAGATTGATGTGTGATTTCACAGGTTTGTTATTGGTGCTTGTCCATTGTGGTCATTTTATGGTTTTCATCATTATTTTAGTTAGGATTTTATTTTATACACACTACTGTTCAGAAGTTTAAGGTTTGTTGAAAGAGGTTTTTGAAAGAGGGTCTATTATGCTCATCCAAGCTGCATTTATTCTATCAGAAATTCAGTATGTGAAATGATGCAATGATGTGAAATATTATTGCAGTATAAAATAAGTGTTTTCTATATGAATATATTTTAATAATTTATTCCTGTGATGGCAAAGCTGAGTTTTCAGCATGTCTTCAATAAAGTTTCTGATCTTTCAGAAATCATTCTAATATGCTGATTTGGAACTTGGAAAAAACATTTCTCATTATTATCAATATTTTTGTGGTATTTTTTAGGATTATGTTATCAATATAAACTTTAAAAGAACAGCATGTATTTGAAATGGAAGTCTTTTGAATCATTACTGTCACTTACTTTGGCTGGATGAAAAACAATACATTTATTCTTACGAAAAAGCACCAGATACTTCAGATATTTCCTTTCATTTTGTTTTGTGTGCCTGCCTTTCAAATTATGACATGAACTAGTGGAGGCAAAGTACCTCTAACAACACAGGTGTTGGTTTTAGCAAGTGCAGGAAGTATTAATTTTCTAATTAGGACAGTTGGCGCTTGGTTGTGTGATATGTTCTTCCTTTATGTCACTGTCAATGTCCTTTATGAGATGTCCTCTCTCTGTTTCTCGCAGGGCTGAAGTACCTGCATTCTGCAGGGATTCTGCACAGAGACATCAAACCAGGGAACCTGCTGGTCAACAGCAACTGTCTGCTAAAGGTAATGTGTACATCAAATGTGCTCAATCAAATAATAATGGCAAAATGAGATGTCACTTTTCCTTCTCGTTTAGATTTGTGACTTTGGCCTGGCGCGAGTGGAGGAGCCGGATCCTTCTCGTCACATGACCCAGGAGGTGGTGACCCAGTATTACCGTGCTCCAGAGGTTCTGATGGGATGCCAGCATTACACTTCATCTATAGATGTCTGGTCTGTAGGCTGCATCTTCGCAGAGTTGCTGGGCAGACGTATTCTTTTCCAGGCTCAGAGCCCCATACAACAGGTAATAATGTACACTACCGTTCAAAAGTTTGGGCACTGTTTATTAAAGAAATCTGGGGGAAAAAAATCCCATTTACAGAAACAAAAGCAGCACAGCTGTTTTCAACATTGATTAAAAAATGTTTCTTGAGCACCAAATCAGCATATTAGGATGATTTCTGAAGGATCGCGTGACACTGAAGACTGTAAATTAGTAATGAAATAATGAAAATTAAGCTTTACCATCACAGGAATTGTAAAAATATATTCAAATTGAAAACAGTTATTTCAAATTGTAACCATATTTCAAAATATTGCTGGCTATTTTTTTTGTATCAAATAAATGCAGCTTTGGTAAACATAAGAGCCTTCTTTCAAAATACATTAAGTAAGTCATACCGACCTCAAACGTTTACGTACCGCTACTATATATTAAAGGATCTTGTTTTAATATACACTCTAATCTTGCTGAAAATTAGGTCCCTTTAATAAATTAGATTTTGAGAAATACTGAATTAAAGTGTTTCTCCTCCTCTCTTTTTCTCTCAGTTGGATCTGATCACTGATCTCCTCGGGACTCCTCCTCTTTCTGCCATGGCATCCGCGTGTGAAGGAGCACGAGCGCACATTCTTAGAGGACCCCACAAACCAGTTCAGTACCCTCCTTTACAATGATTTATTAGTCCATAAAGATGTCATGCACAAATCTGTCCTCAAATCAAATACAATATTCTAACTTTTATTTGTGCTTTCTGTCTCTTAGCCCTCGCTGTCTGTTCTGTACATGTTGTCAGATGGAGCAACACATGAAGCTGTTCATCTTTTGTGCCGCATGCTAGTTTTTGATCCAGTGAGTATGACTTTTCTAGATCACAATAACTGTCTGCATTTTGGCTAATGTTTTTGTGTGATTTATTTATGGCCTATACTTAAAGTAATAGTTATTTTGCGGCTGTATACACGCTTCTGTAGTTGTATTTTATAACATTTACATATAAAGCACACTGTTAAAATAAATATGTGACCCTGGAGCACAAAACCAGTCATAAGTAGCACGGATATATTTGTAGCAATAGCCCAAAATACATTAGTATGTAGTAGTATTAGTAGGGGTCAAAATTATTGATCTTTCTATATGCCAAAAATCATTAGAATATTCATGTATCAAGTTCATCTTCCATGAAAATATTTTGTAAATTTCCTGCTGTAAATATATTAAAACTTAATTTTTGATTAGTAATATGCATTGCTAAGAACTTCATTTGGACAACTTTAAAGGCGATTTTCTCAATATTTCGATTTTTTTTGCACCCTCACCCTCCTATCCTAACAAACCATACATCAATGGAAAGCTTATTTATTCAGCTTTCAGGTGATGTATAAATCTCAATTTAAAAAAATTGACCCATATGACTGGTTTTGTGGTCCAGGGTCACATATTTGTAATGCTTCCTGTTTGGTTTGTAACTCCTACTTAGATGCGTTAAAGGCACAATATGTAAGTTTTCGCCACTAGAGGTCGCATTATTCAAAACAATAACAAAGGCGAAGCTTGATGAAGCTTTGAAGGCCGATTTTCACGGATGAGGTAATTAATTATAATTTTTTTATTACCTGTACCTTCCACAGTTATTCAAACAGCGAATAAATTATACAGAGAATGCGAGCAAAGAACATTTACATTGTTAAAGAACATATGACTGACTTAAGTTTAGCGTGAGTTTAAGCACTCTCAGAAAACTCCAGTTATAATCAGTAAAGCTGTCTATACACGGTTTGATGAATGAATCTCTTGTCATACGTACATCTGCACTTAGTGGTTTATGATGAGAGAATTCGCGCGAGAGCTGAATTCAGTCAGCGAGTGCGTGCAGTGGACAAAAAACTCATCTGAACGCCTCTGATTGGCCATTGCATTCATAAGCTCAACGGACTCGTGTGTGATTGGTTATAATGCGCAACACTGTAAAAACGCATATAAAAATCATGGTGCAACATTGAGCAGATCTAAATTTAATGCTGCGGTCAACACTTTTCATTTCATTTTCGATTTATTCGCGACATCCGTAATGGATTTAGTCTATCTGTACAGCAGCATTAGTGTCCGTGTGTTGCCATACCCTGCGTCCCAATGTGCATACTATCTACCCTATCTGCCCTAAATAGTATTGAAAATTACTAATATCACATAGAATTTAGGATGGGTAGTATGCACATTGGGACGCAGGCACCACCGTTTCTACAAGCGGAAATTGAGGATATGTGGATATTACGTCATTGATAGGCGACAATGACCAGGGACCAGCCATTATTTAAAATCGGAATTTCTCTGGATTTACAAATACTTGGGAACTTTTGGGATAACTTAAATACACAACTGCATGAAATATATCGCACTGTGCAATAGGGCTGCACGATTATGACAAAAATCATAATTGTCGATTATTCCCTTGAAATTGTAATTGCGATTATTAATTACGATTATCACAATTTACATTGAAGATGTTTATACCATTGTTTGATGCAACTGCATGGCGTATTTTTATATGAAAATAAACAAGCTGAAAACACTCTAACTGAAAAAACCTTTAGTGCTTTTCTATAGTATTAAGCCTCAAATGTCAACTATACATCGGATTTGTTTCTTCTTTAAATTATAAAAAAAGTAAAAATATGAATGTTTATAATGTTATACTAAAACTAAAACAATGGAAAAACCCTTAAGATAACATGTAGAAAGAAAAAAACGTATCTTAAGCACACAGAATAACATAAGTGGACTTTGAACGATTAATTGCCGCTTTGAACGGTTACGTAATTGTGGCATCCATAATTGTAATCGCGATTAGAAATTTGATTAATTGTGCAGCCCTACTGTGCAAGTAGTTTTTGGATATTTTATTACGAAAATCTTACGTATTGTGCCTTTAATATGGTTTTGTATGAGTAATGAGAATATAGTGAATCATCACTGATGTAATCGATGATACTTTTACAATTTAGAATACATGGTTTAGATTTTAAAGTGTAATTTATTCCTGTGATAGTAAAGCTGAATTTTTAGCATCATTACGCCTGTCTTCAATGTCGCATGATCCTTCAGAAATCAGTCTAATATGCTGATTTGCTGTTGAACTAATTATTGTTTCATCACTGTTGAAAATAGTTGCACTGCTGAATATTTTTTGTGGAAACTGTGATACATTTTTCAGTATTTTTTTAATATGTTCAAAAGAACAACATTCATGTGAAAAGGAAATCTGTTGTAACTATTTAAGTGGCTTTACTGTCACTTTTGGTCAATTTAATGTGTCCTTCTTCAAAGTAAGAACAAAACACTTGACCTCATACTTTTTTTTTTGTATTATTATTATTATTATTATTATTTTGGAGTGAAAATGACTTCAGTTCTTCTTCTTCTTCAGGTAATAGTCTGTGTGTGTGTCTCCATCTATAGGCTAAGCGCATCTCGGGCAGTGACGCTCTGTCTCATCCGTATTTGGATGAGGGTCGTCTGCGGTACCACACCTGCATGTGTAAGTGCTGTTACTCTGTGCCCAGCGGGAGGGTGTACACCCGAGACTTTGAGCCGCCTGCGGATCGCCCTTTCAGCCACAACTATGAGCAGAGCATGCACTCCGTCTGGCAGGGCAAAGGTGACTCACTCTGGCGCTTTGTTACAATTAAATCTCCATCATCTTTTGACATGAAGGACCTATTTTGATGACCTGTTTTCTCTCTTCGTCTCAGAGCTCATCCATCGTTTTATAACAGAGCACCAGCAAGGCAAACGAGTGCCTTTGTGCATCAATCCCCAGAGTGCAGCCTTCAAAACCTTCATTAGGTGAGTATAAGAACAAGTGTTTTTTGACAACTCGTCTCTTTTTCCAGTATATGCACTCAAAATTAAGCCCCTGCCCTTTTTTAGAATTAATCAAAAGGGGCCCCTCTCAACAATGATCAACAATACAATTTTGGTCAAAAAAAAAAAACCAAAATGCATTTGAATTATAATTAATATAACAACTTGTACAAAGCAGTAACAAATTGCTCAAAATTCAGAAAATTCCCATTTATTTGATCGTACGTACCATGCAGTGGAAAAAAGCCATAATATACAGCTTACCAATTATTTTTTTTAATTATTATCATTGTTGTTGTGATGTTACAGTGTGGTCTCTATAAAAACAATTTTTTTTGTATAGTTATTAAAGAGATGGTTCACCCAAAAATGAAAATTCTGTTAATAATTACCCTCATGTCCTTCCAAACCCGTAAGACCTTCATTAATCTTCAGAACACAAATTAAGATATTTTTGATGAAATCCGAGAGCTTTCTGACCCTGTATAGACTGCAACACAACTACTACGGTCAAGGCCCAGAAAGGTAGTAAGGACATCATTAAAATAGTCCATGTGACATCATTTGTTCAGCGTTAATTTTTTGAGGCTACGAGAATACTTTTTGTGCAAAAAGAAAACCAAAATAACGACTTTATTCAACAATCCATGTTGGCATAAAAACATCCATTTTTATGCAATCCTGTAAAACCATTTATTTCTTTATATCAGATCCACAGCCTGGCATTCCTCAAAAGTATCAAGGAAAGAAGAGAGATGAGGTGGATTCTGGGAAATGTGGATCATAGGAGCAAGCATGCTTTGGAGATGAAGATATGGATCACATGCTTTTGAATGAACTCTCAGCACTCATTCCAATTCGACATGGGGATCTCTCAGAAAAACAGATCCACTTAAACGACACTGATGAATAATGCTTTTGATGCTGCTGAGAACACTTTTATACTGACTGTGTGCTTGAGGATTACGGGAAATAGAATTTTCCACAGAAATAAAAAAAAGAAAAGAAAATGGATTGTTGAATATGACTAAATGAGCCAACGTCAATGTTGTGCAATACAGATATCTGGAATAATGCAAATGACGAGACTGCGCTGACCATGATTTCACTAACAGATGAGATGACAGTGCCCACGAGTCCATAGCATCGCCCCCGCGGCCATTTCAATCTGCCGCTGTATCTCCAAACTTTTATCACTGTGTTCCTTTTGCGGGTTCTTAGGTTTTATTCTGAAAATTCTGGTAACCAAAAGTTCTTAAGTCTTCTTATTTTGTTACTGCTTCATCATTCAGCTGAATGCTTTCTGTTCGATATCACTCAGATTTTCTACTTCTTTTTTGGGGGGAACCTCTCAACATTTCTTATGAAGCACCCTGTGCAAATGATCCCTGAGCAAATGCATTCGAGATTTAGAGATGGCGGCGTCTCGTGATGACAGACGTACGTACGTCTTTATCTGTGGAACGTAGGTACTGTGCCGTCCCCACCTGAAGCATCTTCCCAAAGGTCCCGCCCCCCTCCTAGGACCAAACGAGATCGATATCAGTATCCTGCTCTCTGATTGGGCGAGGCTCTGTAGGCAGAGAAGATAGATTGAATATTATTTATTTTCTCTTTTTAATTTATTGTCGTCTTGTCCAGCTTGTTAGGTGTTTGTGTTTGGCGGACCAGGTGCGTGGGTTTCATGGCGGCATGAGCGAGCCATCTGGTCCATGAGTGATTTTGAAAAACTGTGCAGGTTCGGAGAGTTTAGGGAATGTGCAGTGTCGTAAATTTTTATTTTATTTTATTTTTTTAAATATTTCATTACCTCAACCGGCCCTCATTTCACTGGGCTGGTGTATATAGACTGAACCCAGTCGTTTATCAAAAATGTACTGTAATGCAGTCGATTGGCGTCAAGTGTGTGTGTGTGTGTTCCTTCACTGGGCCGCAGTCTCTCTCTTAATCCATCTGCTTTTCTTTTTCCTTCAGAGCGGATTGTCGAGACGGTGGCTTATGGTTAATTATTAGATAGTTGTTGGGGAAATGCTGCTGTTTGTGTAATACCTCCAAAACCTCCCCGACTCATTTGTAAAAGTAACACGTCTAGAGCTCAGGTTTCATATTATAGGATATGGACTAGACTGTAGACACTGTAGACGTGGGTCCAGGCAGTCACCGGTGCTCTCTGGGTTTATTGCAGAGCTGAATACTCAAAAATGCCCAGTACTGTAAGCGTTTGCCTCCTACCACCAGGTGGCAACACAAGCGAAGAGCACGATTGGATGTATCAAGGCAGTTATTGCTCATCAATAATGTCTCTCAATGCATGTGTGTATGGACTTCACTTGGATTTGCAATTGCAGTGCATTAGGAGTTTTATTTTAGAAATGTTTATAAATGTGCTGTTGCTATTTAATTTTTTTCCCCCTTTTTTCCCCCCATGTATTGTGACCATTTTTTTTTTTTTTTTTTGCTTTTGGTTTAAAGTTTTTGTTTCTTAAGTTGATGTTGTTTTTATGACCACTTATGCTATTGTGTTGGTAGAAAAACTAGCAAAATAGTGACGGGAATGAAGATCAGTGGGTTGGTTCAGTCTTACCGACTGCCAAGCAGAAAGTGAACATTTTAAGTAAATGGTGAATTTCTTTTAGTCGTAAGATAGATGTTAGACATTTTTAAGAAATTCATAACTTGATATTCGTGGTAATGACTATTATGGCTTTGATAAAATGATTGAACAGTTGTTTTAAGATGGTTATTACTTTCTTGTTATCTGTTGTTTTCTTCTTCTTCTTTTTTTTGTCATTGCATTTTAGAAGAAAAAAAAATGTTTTTGGACTTTTTGTGTTCCCAACAAATACTTGAAGTTTTTAAGGAAAAAAAAAAAAGAGACGTGGATTAGGGTAAAATAGACATTAAAGAGACAGACACTGGAAACCTTGCCTCTGCATCTTATTGGTTTGAGACGAGAAGGTGATTTATGAGGACATTTTGATTGTCCCCGTATTTCAAAAGGCTTATATATCATTCAGAATGTGTTTTTTTTTTTGAAAATCTAAAAATGCAGAAAGTTTCCTGTAAGGGGTAGGTTTAGGTGTAGGGTTGGTGTAGGGCAATAGAAATTACGGTTTGTACAGTATAAAAACAATTACGCCTATGGAGAGTCCCCACATCTATTTTGTTTTTCATTTCGTAATGTTTAATCAAAATGTCATATCTGGACCTGCCAGTGAAAACAAACTTTGCCGAACTGTCGCTACTTCCATTTCATCATGACTTTAAAGTTATGTAATTTAAAAGTTTACTTAAAAAAATCTAATCTTGAGTTTGGTTATTTTATTAAAGGTACTCAATATTTACATTATCTATTAATGACTATAAATATAAGTAGTTACATCTACACCGAGGGCCTCAAGAATGAAAGGCTTTGTGTATCGTTCAAATTTGTAAAACCATATGTACATCAGAATCTGCACAAGGTTCGTTTGAGTGTAAGTATATTCTCAAGCTTTATTTTCATGTTCTCAAGTCCCCAAAGTAACCACAAATGGATCCTAGGATACCTTTTTTATGACTATCTGCATAAAATTTCCATACGCATATTGCCTTGCAGACACAAAATAGTAGCTTATACAGATTGCAGGAGTTGCCTGCACTTATATGAGATTACACAGCTAAAATAATTTACCTTTACAAAAAAAACAAAAAAAAACATTTATCTAAAATTGCGTGAGACCAGATAATTTTCAGATAATGTATTTTGAACAAACACAAATTATATTCTCACCCCACATGCAATTTGGGAAACCAAAGATTCTGCTCATAGGATTTATTTTGTGGACTATCTTCACTGTAAAACTCAGTGGATCATCACATCACATTACATCTAATCAAAGCTGCAGCTGTATATTTTATAATACAGATTATCGAGACAGTAGAAGTAAGATGAACACAAGGGAACATACAGTAAAAGCTGACCACTATGGTCCCCATATGGTGCAAAGACAGTTATCATTGTGAACTAGTTGAATTTAAATTGGAACCCATAGTGACCCATTTCTTTGTACAATCTTGTATAGCACAAGCATTGAACCAAGAAATCATCACAGTCATAAAAACATGCTATCTCCGTAGAATGCCATATAAAGATTTCTAAAAGCAGCTCTTCCATTAAATATATTTTATGGCAAGTTTATTTTTAGGCTCCAGGGGTCCTATGTATAAAGTGAAATTTCCCATTCACACACTGGTATTTATAAAAAATAATAAACTTGGCACATGCACACTTAACTGGTGAGAGCACATTGCTGGTGAGAGCGTAGTATTAACCATCTTTCTCCGTCATGCCTGACAATAGAATATTGCATATTTAAAAAACCACAATATATGAACTGCTATTATGTAAAACATGCACTGACACTGATTTTTGTTGCACAACAACATTCTGTCACGTCAGGGCTTTTTAGCAAAAGTTATGTATGATGGATTTGCTTAAGTTATTAAATAATTTTGATTAAAGATTACGAGAGCATATGAATGTAAACCCTGTAACATTCCATAAAAAACAAGAACTGTCGATTTTCAATTAATGGTGCCCACATCTATTTTTTTTTTCATTTCGTAATGTTGAATCAAAATGTCATATCTGGACCTGCCAGTGAAAACAAACTTTGCCGAACTGTCGCTACTTCCATTTCATCATGACTTTAAAGTTATGTAATTTAAAAGTTTACTTAAAAAAATCTAATCTTGAGTTTGGTTATTTTATTAAAGGTACTCAATATTTACATTATCTATTAATGACTATAAATATAAGTAGTTACATCTACACCGAGGGCCTCAAGAATGAAAGGCTTTGTGTATCGTTCAAATTTGTAAAACCATATGTACATCAGAATCTGCACAAGGTTCGTTTGAGTGTAAGTATATTCTCAAGCTTTATTTTCATGTTCTCAAGTCCCCAAAGTAACCACAAATGGATCCTAGTTTTTTTTTTATGACTGTATCTGCATAAAATTTCCATACGCATATTGCCTCGCAGACACAAAATAGTAGCTTATACAGATTGCAGGAGTTGCCTGCACTTATATGAGATTACACAGCTAAAATAATTTACCTTTACAAAAAAAAAAATTAAAAAAAATTTATCTAAAATTGCGTGAGACCAGATAATTTTCAGATAATGTATTTTGAACAAACACAAATTATATTCTCACCCCACATGCAATTTGGGAAACCAAAGATTCTGCTCATAGGATTTATTTTGTGGACTATCTTCACTGTAAAACTCAGTGGATCATCACATCACATTACATCTAATCAAAGCTGCAGCTGTATATTTTATAATACAGATTATCGAGACAGTAGAAGTAAGATGAACACAAGGGAACATACAGTAAAAGCTGACCACTATGGTCCCCATATGGTGCAAAGACAGTTATCATTGTGAACTAGTTGAATTTAAATTGGAACCCATAGTGACCCATTTCTTTGTACAATCTTGTATAGCACAAGCATTGAACCAAGAAATCATCACAGTCATAAAAACATGCTATCTCCGTAGAATGCCATATAAAGATTTCTAAAAGCAGCTCTTCCATTAAATATATTTTATGGCAAGTTTATTTTTAGGCTCCAGGGGTCCTATGTATAAAGTGAAATTTCCCATTCACACACTGGTATTTATAAAAAATAATAAACTTGGCACATGCACACTTAACTGGTGAGAGCACATTGCTGGTGAGAGCGTAGTATTAACCATCTTTCTCCGTCATGCCTGACAATAGAATATTGCATATTTAAAAAACCACAATATATGAACTGCTATTATGTAAAACATGCACTGACACTGATTTTTGTTGCACAACAACATTCTGTCACGTCAGGGCTTTTTAGCAAAAGTTATGTATGATGGATTTGCTTAAGTTATTAAATAATTTTGATTAAAGATTACGAGAGCATATGAATGTAAACCCTGTAACATTCCATAAAAAACAAGAACTGTCGATTTTCAATTAATGGTGACTTTAAACTCATAGACTAAACTTACTCTCTGCCTGCGTGTATTAGGCAAACAATACGTATTATTTGAGCAGAACATTCATAATTCTGTATGTTTAGTACGGACTATTGAAACAAAAGATGACAAAAAGACGTCGGGCCATAAATAGTTAATGCGGTCTTGCACTATCAGGTCACTTTGTTTTTACTTGCCATTGGTCATATTTACTGTCAATCAAAGCTTAAACCAATCAATGAAGGGTAAATCTGTCGCGTCCTTCTCGTTTGGCCAATCAGCAGTTAGTTACTAAGACTCGCGGTGCAGATTTAAAAGTAAAATTAATCTCTTGTCGACGCATTTAGGACGGGGGTCAGTGAGTCGAAAAGACGTGATTTCTGAACCGAGAGCGATGAACAGTAAGTTAAACCGGCCTTTTCCCGTTTCCGTGATATATTTACTAATTTCTCCGGTGATATTAGTTAAAGGTTATGTAAAAAGACAACGGAGACCACAGCTGTATTTATCCGCTCAGCGAGGCTCTGAGTCATGTTAGCACAGCGCTAGCCTGAGAGCTAGCGTGACTCTCTTTCTCTATTTTGCATACAGGCGAATTAGAATAACGCCATTATTTAGATTACTTTCGGCATTTGGTTTAGGATTTGCACATGTTCTGTAGTCAAATGTGAGCCATTCCACCCTTCCTGCCTTCCCCAGTCCCCACTTGTTTTGTCTAATCCTAGCTAGCGAGGTGGTCAGAGAGGCAGAGCCGGGGACCAGAGTGGTTGCCTGGATACCTGCTTGTCTCTTCTTCCATCTGGTGCAGGTATCCGCTCTCCGCCACGGGTAGCCTACATTTTCATTTAAATAAGTCATTTGCAAGGCTAATGTTTGAGTGTGGCCATATCTGACCACTGCAGCTTTTGATCTGCTGACTCAGCTTGAGTAATGAGCTTTGTGAAGACCAGATGGACGCGGATCGGGTCTTTTATATGTAAGTTAGGGATGCATTCGCTTCCTGGACAGCTGGATGTGGACAGACGAACTTTGCAGTACTACAATTGTTCGTCCTTTGACATCTTTCTTGTTGTTTTATATATATATATATATATAAAAAACACTTGTATTTTATATATATATAAAAAACACTTGTATTTTCCCAGCAGTAGCTGGCAATCCAAAACCTGTGCAGCTTTCTGGGATCAAGCGCTTAGGATAAATCAACAACATCATGTGGACCGTCTCACAGATGCCTCCTGGACCTTGTGATCCGATTTCTGGAAGACTGTGACAGGATTGCCCTTCTGGAAGACTGTGACAGGATTGCCCTTCCCCGTAACCGACGCTGCTCAACCTTAATGTAATCTTCTGCCTTTTTTGCTCCTTCTGCTCTTGTCCAATATGACCCTGTCCACCTGCTGCTTTTCTCTAGCATCT